CTGGGGCACCAGCAGCCCCCCCGTGGCAGCCCCCCCTGCAGCTCACCTGCCAATGATGCTCTTGATCTGGGAATCCTTCTCCACCTGCTGCTGGCGGAGGCGCTTCTCACTCTGCTCCAGGCGCTGCTGGTACTGCTGCAGGATCTTGCTGGTCTGCTCCTCCTGGGTGAGCAGCCGTCTCTCGTACTCCTCCAGCTTCCGGGTGGACATGTGCAGGCGCTCCTTCAGGGAGTGGATCTCCTCCTCGTACTCCTTCACCTGCAGGGGGGGAGAAGGCACCTCAGGGCAGGAGCCCCCCCACACCCAACACCCAGGGAGGGGGAGCTGCCTGGGGGGTCCAGGGGCCTCTCGCAGGGCCTCTCCCTGAACCCGAAGGCCGTGGAGGCAAAGGGAGGCTCCGCGGAGGGACCTGGAGGAGGCTCACCCGGTCCAGCCGACTCTCGTCCATGGATTTGGAGTACTCCTTAAGCTTGAACTCTTCCCGCTCAATGTGGGAGCTCTCAATGTCTGCCGAAAGGTGGGGCATGTTGGAGACCCAGGCGACTGTCCGCTCCGAGGCCGGCAGGACGGGGTTCAGCGTCGAAGGCGTGTGCGAGGGCTGGCGGGGCAGGAGGGAGGCGGTCAAACTACGTGAAAGTCAGTCCACACTCGCCCCCAGGTCTTCAACAGCCTTCTGAATGGCAAGGCACCAATCCCCCCACCAGCCTTGCAAGGGAGGCTAATACAAGGATTGTGACGGGGGGGCGACAATCTGCAATTATGAACAGAGCAAGCTGCGTTCCACCAACGCCGGACCACGGATCTCACAGGTCGCCACTGCTCACGTGGGGTGGATGCCCTTTTTTGGGTCTGTAGCCTGATGTGTGGGCCAGCGAGAGATGGCATGGCCCAGGGAGGTGGACCCAGTACCCCACCGCCATCTTTTATTCACATTTTCTTCTTCCATTCTCAGGACTTCACTGTTATGAATCATTACGAGATAAATGCAGCCAACAAAAAAATTTAACACCTCAAGAAATTAGACCATTATCCCCCTGATCAATGACTTTTCTTAGAGCAGTCAGTTAGGGTTGGGGTCTCCCCGGTGCCCTCTCTTCTCATGGGTCCCCAGATCCCAAGCTCTGCTCAGGCTTCCTTGCAGGTGAACCAGGGCTGCTGAAGGAGGGCCCCCGTTTACCCAGATGGCCAGTGGTCTCCGTTCTTGAGCAGCAAGAGCAGGGGGTGGGGGTGGGGGGGCACACAGGGCAAGGGACAGCAGTGCTCCAGCCTGGGTCCTCCTGGCCACGGAGGTCTCTGCTCTGGCTACTGAAGCAGGTTGAGTCCTGGTCACAAAGCCTCCGGCAGCTGGGTCCTCTGCCTCTACGGAGAACGAGCTGCCGAACCCTTTGCAGCTAGGAGTTATACGCGGGACTTCCCTTTCTCAGCTGACTTACTCTGAGTAAGGCGTCCTGCTGGCACCTGAAATCAAGGCTGGTGGGCAGAACCAGGGGGCTGGTTCCCTGTCAGTGGCACTCCCTCACCAGGAGGCTTCAGGATCAGCTCTCTCCATTTTCCACAGCTCTATTTGCCAAGAATTTTGCCCAAGGTGCAGCACGCTGCCAGTTTCCCTTGTTTTTGCCAGGTTTTTCGCTGTCCATGCTTTCTCTTCACCAGCTGCTGCCCAGGTTTGAAGAGCAAATGAATCGAGAGCACTTTTTTCCTGCAGCTCCTTTTCTCCTACTTCCAAGGCCTGGGGACACTTGGAAAAATGGGCAGGAGACAGAACGGCACATCTGAGGCCCTCCTGGGAAAGAGGGCGATGCAGGCAGAAGGCTAAGGGGTGCCACCTTTCGTCAGCCAAGGCCTTGGAGGGGCTTTGTTGTTGTTCAGTCGTTAAGTCATGTCCGACTCTTCGTGACTCCATGAACCATATTGCGCCAGGCCTTCCTGTCCTTCACTGCCTCC